GGTTGATCCCGTGGTCCAACTCAAACTGGTCCTTTGCGTCAAGCGGGGGAAACTCCTTGTTTGTCTCCTTGCACAACCAAAGAAGGTGCAGGAGAGTTGCCTTCTGGCCACAGTGTGGGCATTGCAGGTGCTTGTCGTCTTCATTGTCAGAGATCTTGGTGAACAAAGCCCCTTGATGCCATGTGGCCAGTGCCGCACTGTTTCTGGAGTTGAGCGTTTTGTTCATTTGCTGCCAAGGTCTCCAGTCTAACGTGTACTGAACCTCCCCAAGCATCTGTCGTTTGTTGATTTTTTCAATTCTCTCCCATCTCTCTGCTCGTTTGAGCTCTTCCCGCAAGGCAAACCAGTCCTCCTTCATGTCAAGGCAGAAAATCCCTGCTGCCATTGTGTCCTGGTTTAGTCCAAACCCCATAGTTTGAGCAGTCCCAATGCCTTTCCAGGAGGTGACAGATCAGGGCTGCAACAGGTCCTTTGGCCACTTGCCATGGATGTTTTGCCTGCATGAACCTATCACGGATGGCCTGCCATGCCCTCTCCAAGGATTTGTGGGTGGCTTCACGCCAATTTCCAAAGAAGCGCCGGTAGATGCGGACTTGGGACATGAATGATCCATAGTCTGGATCTTGGTGCTTGCTGTGCATGTCATACGGGATGTCGATGTTCCCTGTACGTTGTAGTCCAATTTGGCGGCCCATGACTGCTTTCAGCCGGCGTCGAACTTGTGGAGCTAGTCCCATGGCCTCGTGGCCCCAGCTGATGCCTGCTACAATGCTGCCCTTGTAGAGTTTCAGTCTGATGCTTCTGAGCGGGATCTTGAGGGTGGCCAGTTTCTTGGTTTTCCTGGAGGCCCTTGCTGCGTCTGCCCGGAGAGTTTGAATCCTCCTGAGCCTTCCCGCTGTGCAGTCAACTCCGAGGTCACGCATCACATCATGTACTCCAGGTCCCTCAGGTGGGAGTTGCTGTTGTAGAAGCCTCTCGGCCGTGCTGTTTGAGGCGATGAAGCCAGTCTTCTTGGCAGAGATTTTGAGGTTGTCAGCTTCAAACAACTGCCTAATGTGTTCATAGGCTTGTAGGGCAATTCGTACAGCTTGGACTGGATCTCGATGCACCACATCAAAGCTCAAGCCATCAATCCAGAGGTCCGTATGCAGCTGTGGGTATTTCTTGTGGAAGGCTTTCAGGGCTTCATACAAGTAAATCTTGGCCGCTAAAGGCGCCTGAGGATCACCTGCTAGGATGCCATTCTGTGTCCACAGTTGATTTGACGCCTCCCCTTCAGCTTCTAGGATTCGTCCACCAAGGTACAACTGCATGGCTAGCGCAGCATGTGTCTTGGGATAGTCTGAATCCAGCCACCGGGGGCATGGCTTGTCGAGACTGATCCTGTCATAGAAGTTGGCATGTGCTTGCCATAGTCAGCTCCTGTGGCCAGGACTTGCACCTGCATGATGGTGCTCATTGTGGTCGTCATGAACTCCTCCGGTGAGACGTTGAAGTCCCCAAGGATGATGACCGGCTTCACCACACTGGTGACAAAAGAAAGCAGCCCTGCCCATAGCTGTGCATTGGTATGCCCTTGCGGGCCTTCTCCTGTCCGGAAATAGGCCGTGATCATGAGGATTTCAGCATCGTCAAAGGTCCACTGCACCGCGTACCATCCACAGCCTTCAATGATCTGCTTGTGCACAAAGTGGAAGTGCATGTGGGCCGGGTAAATCATGAGGTGTCCTCCATGGGTGCCTCCCTTGCTGCTTTCTGCTGCTGGGCTTCCTAAAACTCCAAAGCCTCTGGCCATCAGCCATTGATTGATCTTCTGGTAGTCCTCGTGGGCTAGGTGTGTTTCCACCATGAACATAGGTGTGCGGGGTCTTGTCAGTAGCCATTGGCGGACCTGTTGGCCCAGGCTGGTGACATTGGCAAATGCAAAGCTGACACCGGTGAGGCATCTCCTCTTGGCTGGTGGTGTGGACTCTTCAATCTTCTGTCCACTCGGAAATTCACATTGGATATCTTGTGGCAAGAGTTCCGGTGTCATCAACCAACCAGTAGACTCCCCTGTAGACAAAGATGGCGAAATAGTGACCATGTTTGTGCGGGTTCCCTGAATGACAAAGCAACCCTACCACAGAGTATTGCTCTGTCTTGGTCACGTTCCCATCCTCCGTGTAGGGGATGTTGAAGATCGTAGGCACATTCAAAATCTGATGGTGTTTGGTCCACTCCCCGTCACAAAGATCATATCTTCCGATTTGGCCTACCCAAAGGCCTCTGCCATCAGCTACTTGTCCTTCTCCTAGGTTTGCCCATTCTGCTATCCACTGTTCGAGCTCCTGATCAGGTTGATGGCCAGGTGAGATGAGGTGAATGGGAAAAGACTTTCTTCTGTGAACTTGCTGCCTGTGGTCGACATGGTAGTACCCCGGGATGATGCGGGGTGACTCTGCCAGGTGAGCCAAGGCCATGAGAAAGTGGGATGCATCATCTTGCACCTGATCATCGAATTGCTGCCATAAGGTCCTCAAAGTTGGCAAGGAAGTGATGTTCACCACTCCCTCATCTTGTAGCGCTGCATGGACCGCGGCTCCGGTCTTGTTCCAAAGCTGCGGACCACCCATGAAGCTGCCTGCCCATGACCATAAGCGGAAAGGGGCGTTGGCAAAGCACCGGTTCCTGTAGTTCCCAGTGCGGCATTGAAGGTTTTGGACCACATAGTCCAAAGGTGATTGCGCAGCCATTGTGGGTGTGACCACTGGCTGGGGATCGTCTTCTTCTTGAGCAGGTTCCATAGTTTCGTCCATGTGTCCCGCTCCCCCACAAAATCTTGGGACAGCAAAATGCTGTTCCATCAAAGCCAGCTGTGCATTCGCTGGCGCCCCAATGCCACAGGCTCTGTTTGCCTGTGGAAAACCCTGCTGCTCTGAGCCGAAGTGCACATGCCCATCCATAGACCAAGGATCATCATGTTCCCCTAGATGACTGGCCTGTGTCTGACATGTGTCAACCCCTGTTGCCATCTCGTTCTCACATTGGTCACCCACACTTCCTTCTTTTTGCTGCAGTTTCCTCAGTCTGCCGTGCAAAGTCTGTGACCTGTTCGGCTGTGGCCTGTACGCCAACTTTGGCCAAGATGGTCATCAGCTTTTCCGGCGCTAACGTAAAATCATTCTCTTCTTCTGCAGCTTCGTTCTTCTCCTTCTCAATCTGCTGATTGTACAAGGTGGTGGTATCCTGAAGGTCTTTTTGGGCCTGTTCGATCTTGTTCTGCGTGTCCTTCAATTCTTGTAGCAGTGCCGTGTATTGGGCTTTCACTGCATCCGCCTTCTGTTGAAGTACTGCCTTCTTCTCGGAGCTGCTTGAGATGCCCGACCGACTGTTTGAGCTTTGTAGCCAAGGTGGGTTCCGGTTTGTCGGGCTCGACCAGCTTTTCTACTGCCTCCTTTAGGTCACTTGGCAAGCTCTGCAAGTGCTCTTTGATCAAGGTTGGGAGATCCGGTGGAGCCGGAAGTGCATTGGCCTGCAAGCCAATGGCTTCACACTGTGTCTTCAGCGCCTGGGGTAGGGCTTCCCAGTGCTCTTGAACCGCCCTTTGCAGGGCAGACTGCTTGACCTTGGTCTTCTTGGGTCGATGTCCTCCTGCTAGGCCTGGTGGTGGCTCCAGAAATGTCTGCTTGTAGGATCTGTGGGGCCATTGGTGGCCTGTGCTGCTGAAGTTCCATTTGGCCCACTGCGTCATCCTCCTGTGGCTCTTCAGATCAGCCAAGCTGCGTTCTTGCCATGGGTGCCCACAGTGTTTGCAAGTCAAACCGGGGTGTGTGATCACCCGGTTTTGCCATATCCAGCTCTGGTGGCAGGATTTGCACACCAGATATTGCCTCTGCTTGTCGTAGAGCTTGTGCACCAAGTTGAGGTGACCTTCTAGATCCCCACGGCCACAATGGCGCGTGCTGGGATTCAGTAGCTGGATTTTTGGGGGCCAGCTTGAGAACCTGAGATGGCCTTGAGCCATATATTATATGCATATATTATATATATATATATGTATATGCGAGACGCACCGTACTGATGGTGTTTGGTGACACCGTGTCGTGAGGAGGTGGACTGATGCCCCCCCTTGGCACCGCACTGATTCACCTGCCTAGTCCGAGCTTACAACGCAAGGCACTCGGGCGTCACAGCTGGCGCTTGCCCCAAGCATGGCGAAACCCAAGATACACAAATCTGCAGAAATACACATTTGAGGGCACCGCAGGCAGGAGAATTGTCATCAGTCAAACCGTCGCTGAACTGGCAAGCCACACAGGGCCATTGCAAGCCCTATTGAAGACACATCTGAATATTGCGGGCAGGTGATGTGGCAGCAGGTTGGGCACGGACACACCTGAGCTCCATAGCCTCAGCGCTGTGGGTGAAGCGTGGACATTGGCACTGCCTGGGCGATGGGAAAGCAGGCGAGCTATGAGGAGTCAGTAGAGCTATTCCCATTTCCGTGGGACGCGTGCCAGGCGGAAGAGCCACCACTGGATTTCCAATGATTTCCATCATTGTCACAGCTCCATAATGCTTGCAGAACGTACCACTGCAGCCTACGCAGGCCTCTTTCACCAGAAGCATTGGTGGCAAAGCTAAAGGGCGAGCAGCCCAGAAAGCCTACAGCGGAGAGGAAGTGCAGGAAGTGCAAGCTGATGATTGGGGGCGAGGGCGGTGCTTTGCCCAGTGAGAGGCAGCGCACTGCATTCTGGAACGCCCAGCTAAGTACGTCGCGCAGCAGACTTTCTGCCTGACTGCCAGCAGTGTACACGACAATGAGACACACAGGTTGCCGGCGGAAACGGCACAGAAATTTCGATGCGTTCAACCCGGCAAGCGCACGTCGGAAACCAGAACCCATGTCGTGGTGTTGTGGTGGAATAACAGAACACTTTGAACAATCCATCGTCAGCTTTTCCAAGGTGGACCGTCAGAAGTCTTTTCTCGACTTCATGTGATGTGAACCGGCTCAGGCAATACCTTTAAAGTCTTGGTGATCGACAAGCCATTGATCGGCAGGCCTGGTGCCGGGCAGTGGAAGCCATTCCTGACTATGTTTCCATTTAATTACTAGGGGTTGAGGGTGCGAGGTTGACCCCTATAATATATTATATGTTTATAACCCAGAGCGTGTTGGTCATGACAGATACTAAAGAGAAGTGAACCTAGGTACACCACACACTTACTGTAAATGTTTGTTGGGGTGTTAAGGTGTTGACTTTGAGGTTTTAACATGTAGTTATTTAATGATCATGAGCGCCATAGTGCAATACCTTTACCCTGTTTATTGAACGATTTGCATACTGGGAATTTCATGTTTGGGAAACTATGAACCAAAAAAACTAGAAACGGTGCAAAGCCCGGCAAACCGTTTTTTGATGTGCCGCGCCATCCACTTCTGCATTGGTGAGGTGGAGGGCAAGACATGAACAACAACCGACTGAGGTTCTGCATCTCGATCCAACTTCGCTTCAAAATCATATCCCCCACAATCCCCAGCTGTCAACCCAAGCTGTCACTTAGAAACAGCGCCTGAACGAATGAATCTCCGGAAAAGAATCCAACACCAGAGGATGAGAGGGGCGCTGACTGCGTTGTACACTCAGCCCTGCCACGCAAAGTCCCCATCCCGTGTGTCATGACAACCTTTAATAAGATCAGTCAGTATTCTAACTGTTGTTATTGCTATTGGTTCGATTGTTTGATGGATGGCTGTAAGACCCTCCTATCTTCAGGACGAATGAAACCTTATTTTTCACTTCCGCGAGTCGAGTCCAAGACAGTGGGTCCAAGGACACATAAAGCGGACGAATAATGAAAAAAAAAGTAATAAGTGTTTGGACCAGGTTCCGCCCGCTGGCCGCTGAGAAGATCGGAGCACCTTGGGCGTTGGTCGCTCTCGCGTTCGATGGACCATGGAGTCACTTCGGATGGCGGCAGCCATGGCTTTTGGAATCGAGTCTGATTGGAAAGGTCTGAAACGGTAGATAACTTGAAGATCTCCAGTGGAAGTGACTCACTGCCATAAATGCACTATGAATCATGCAGATCAAAGTACTTCGAAATTGGCAGGAGAGAATGACGATAACTTCGCCAAAGCCAAGGTGTTGAATTTCTAGGTGTTCGCGATATGTGGATTCTGAGGCAGAGAGCGGATCCTTAGTTTGGAGCCCCAGACATGTTTCGTCGACCCCCCGAAGTGCTGCATTCGTCCTGTGTTGGGATGCAGATGAACCAATTTATTGAGGCTATGCTTGGAAGGTTTGCTCCCGAGGCCTCATCATCCACTGGATTGGTGTCATTGGATTGTAGCCAGAGGTCTTGGGATAAATAAAGTGGCAGGTGGCTACACGCCTGATCTTGGAGACCTACATGCACACCTGCACACACGGTCAGCTTCAATCCAGCCTGAAGAAACAGCTATTTGGCACTAGCCTCTGAGCAGCCTCAATCCATCACCTGCCTCAATGAAGCACTGATGTCTCACTACCAAACAAACCGTGCTCAACAACAACACAACTGTGAGCTTGAACCATCCAGCGTCTGGGCGCCTAAGCTTCAATCCACTAAGCGTGCAAACCTCAATCCAGCCCTGCTGCGTCACAACCCAAAAAGTAAGACACAATGACCACGCAAAGACGCACGACAAACGAACGCACGCGCAACCAGATTGTGAGAGCCTAAGCCGCCATCCAGCGCCTAAGCACAGAAGCCTCAATGCAGCACCTAAGTGTCTAAGCCTCAATCACATGAAAAGAGGCTTAAGGTGTGCGCGCACAATCACCTAAATAGAGGCAAAGAGGCTTGGAAGCTGCCATCCTGCAGTCTATCGCCATATCCATGTTGTCCTCTTTCACACCTCACAATTTAGTTCACTCACTGCTCATTTTCCAGAACGCTACTCGTTGCCCACAAACCTTCACAGTATTTTCAAGCTCTACAGGGCAACAGAGGTCGGACTGAAGCCAACCTTTTTGTACAGTCCGATTGCCTCAATGTAATTCGTCAGACTTTGTGTCCAAGACCTGAGACAAGTGTGGGCTCAAGTGAAGCGGTTTTCTTTGCCCGCTCTGTGATGTCCAAGGATGAATCGTTTTTTGACAACAGGAATCTTTGCTTGAAGAACCGGATCCTCTGGATACATAGGGTCGATTCTCAGTCTCCCAAGTCCAAATTTTGTAAACCAAGTCTTAGAACACCAACTCCCTTGAATAGAATAAAGAACCCTTCCTAAAACTGGCACCCAAGTCTAGTCTACTGGTTTTCTTTGTTTCGGTGAACAGAGCCCCCAGGTTTGACGCATTGTGCCACATGGCTCCCCATGGATTAGAAAGGTGTTTGGAAGCCATTTGTTTCCTCTGTTTTTGCTTCTTCCCAATTTGATTGGGTGCGTCTCACCAGACCTGAAAGTCTTGCCTAAGGACGATTTGTTGCTTCACTCGCCGGCGATCCAGGGGGAGTTCTTTGACGAGGCAGGTGAAAGCCACCGGTTAGGAGATGGGCGGAGTTCTTGCGGTGCTTGGGGTGGGTCACACATGGTCACAGTCTTGGATAGCGCGTCCTCTTGCTCCCCTACGCTCCCCTTACTCTCCTTTGACACAGCTTGTCATGGAGGACGTTTAGGAAGCAAGAGTCAAGTTGTGCAAGGAGGGCCAGAAAGAATAAATCCACTTAGTAGCCTTATTAGGCGGAGGCCATCGCTATGTTTCGAGCCACCCGAGGGTAGAATTTAGAGCAGAAAGGAGCCATGCCAATGTAGCAGACCTAAATTGAGACGACAAAAGGAACCATTCCAACGTAGCATACCCTTTGTATCCTTCTGTGCACCCAAGCGTTAAATTTAGATGAAAAAAGAGCATTGCTATTAGGTTGGAGGCCATCGCTATATTAGGTTATTGTCCTTTTTGTTTTTTGTTCCGCCGTGATTCCTTCGTTTTCGTCTTCTTTTTCTTCGTCTTCCTTGGTATATGTCGGCCTTTCCTCACGCAGCATTTTCATGGAGGACCTTGCATGACAGGCATGGATGCCCACCCTTTCCACGCTGGCAACAGAGGAAATGAGAGAAATTAGCATCAATCCTTCATGAGGAGACCTTTGGACTCTAGGAACTATTCAGTTTATGACGACGTACCAATCAGTTCATGATTTCCACAAGAGAGGAACACTCGGAGCTTTTGCCAGATTCGAGAAATGACTCATTTTCCAATCTCCACACCACTCTGACCGCTAGGTGGATCGCTTTCGGAAGACCTTCGTACAGGCGTTGTTGCAGCTATGAATCCTTTTGAGTCTTGAAGCAAGCGTTCCTGGTTTGCCAACAAGTAAGGTAATATCAAAAACAGAACGCCAGCATTCCAAAGAAATGCTTATGTTTCCTGTCTTGGAAATCATCTAATCGATATCGTGTATCAAAGACTTCTCGTATGTCCGTCTCTCGGCCTGAGCTGCAAATGTTCATGTTCCAACCAGATCCAACAAGTCTGTTTTGCACTTCTAGGGATTCTAGGGTTTGTGTTTGGCAATATGCCTGTTCACATCGGGAAGGCCTTGTGCAAAACATTTCTGAGTGTGTTTTCTCTGTGGAACACATGACAGGTCAAGAATGCCTCGGTGAATGTTCTCAGACTGACTTTTCCAGAGGTCTCAAGCAGTCAAACATAGTCAAGCAACAATGATGAACAATTGATGCAGATGATCACCGCCGATGTGAATTGTCTTGTGACGTTTTCGGCTGGACCACCAGTTCTCCCCATGTTCAACCAGAGTGGGAAAGGGTGCAGTGACTGAATACATATGTATTATGCCGTATGTATGTATATATATATACATATATTGATATGGATGTAGATATGTGCCCTTTTGGTTGTTCGATTTACTTGGTCTCTTTACTGACCTTGGTTTGGTGAAGCTTTGAAACACCATGGAATGACTTTGCAACTCGCACTGTGGCACAGTGGGTCCGCAAGCGCAGGTGCCGGGCTGTGAGAACCGAACAGCTGAAAGGAGAGGTCTCGGAGAGGGCAGTGGAAAGAACAAACGTGACCATAGGACTCCTACGGTTAACAGTACCTATCATGTGACCATGTTGATGGAAGGAAATGGTCCCCGAAAATCCTTGAGCTCTGAGGAGGTGTAGGAAATGTTCCTTCGACAGAACCTCCTCAAAAATCTCAAAACCAATCTGGGAAGCTGTAATGAACTTTGGAAGATGAGCACCTGATCCATCAGGCAGATGCTTGGTGGTGACCCTTTTTCTAAGTAGGAAGATGTGTGTTTGTGTGCACACCACAAGCAGACCTAGGTTCGTGACCTAATGTGACGTCCTTTCCGGTCGAAGGAAATCTATCTATGCGACATGGCGACAGTTACCTTCGGGCCAGGTTCATCGGAATTTTGTTGCGACATACACCAAACATAGATCTATAAATTCCAAACACAGAATTTCTTTGCATTCCAAGCCTCCACTTCTATGAGGCAATCTCAAATCGTTGAAGAACATTCCAATAAGTAACCTGGTTGAACTACAGTATCCTCGCTAGCGCTCTCTAGGGGGGTCATGTTTCAGGTTGTGAGCCTTTGCCCTCTTGAAGACTATCGCCCAGGGGGCCACTTGGTCTGTTGACTTTTGACTGACAAGACCACATGCTACTAGGAGCAAGGACACTAGCTATCATCGCTACTAGGAGCAAGGACGCTACTAGGAGCAAAGGGCATCGTTCCAAGCTGACTGAAAGCTGAAGGATTCGTGAGATCGTCACTGATGCTGTGGACAAGCTTAGTAGGCCAGTGATGCTACCCGGTGGTTTGTCGGGTCATACATGCGTGAGCCAGGCAATGTTATCATAATCATCATGGTGTAATTTGTTGTTCTTTCGCAGGTGTTGAGTTTTGCTGATTCGTTCAGCCAACGTCTAAGGGCTTTTGTGCCCTCATGATTTTCGCCAACTGGCGTTGTGAGGGGTAACCAAGCATGGTAACCAGGTATGGTAACCAGATATAGCTGAAGGTGATCTGAAACCAAATGCCACGTTGGGGAATAACCTCAGGCATCTTCAGTCACAAATGGCTGCTTAAATACATATTAACTATATTGTATACCAGATCACTTGTTCGGAAAGCCAACTTCCGTGAGGATGTTGGGAGTGCAATCCTCGGTCGTTTGGTCTCTCAAACAGCTCTGTGGCATGGAAGAAAAGAACGTAAGGGCCCCTTTAACAAGTAACAATGCTCTTTTCTAGAAGTCCTAAATTATAAATCCGAGCCCCCTTTTAAGGGACCTGATTAAGGCAGCCCTTGCCTTCTCTTCACGCGGCTAAAGCGGCTGAGGCAGCATCAGCTCAACGCCACCCGGGCAGCGCAGCTGGAGTTCGCCGCCAGAAAAGCCCAGAACGGGCCACGGCATCATGCGTTCAACATTGGGGGCCGTAGCCAGCTGGCAATATTTTTCACAGCGGCAGGGCCTTGTAGCACGTTCATCCCAGACGTTCACAAGATGAAATTTGAGTCACGCCACATGTCGCTTGATTTTTCCTGTTCTGAAACCCGGATTGAAGCATCCCACAATCATTAGGGAAGAATCGGGAAGAATGGCTGTGAAATTCAAGAAGATACAGAGGAATGTGTTGACGACAGCACATCTCTCACAGGTTTTGCCACTTGACGGACTCAGACCAAGCTTGAAGATCGACTCGCTTCCTTTGCTCTTCGCGGGAAGTTCCAGTGAAGGCTTAGGACATCTTAGGACCCCCTGATGCTCCGTGGTTCCGCTGTTTGTCATGGAGTCCCGCAAACAGAGTCTTGGACAATTTTGGTACTGTAAATAGTTTTTGTTAATCTTGTTCGATTGTTTGCTCTGTAGGAGGGTTCAAGGACCACAAGCTAGGAACGTGGTCATATTCTTGAAATGTGACCTATTCACTTTCTTGTTCGGACTTGTGTAGAACAAATCAGTCTGGAAATTGAAACGAGATGAAATTGTCGGAACATGTCGTCGCAAGGTGAGCCGACAAGCCTACACCGCGCCCGCACACCCAGTTTTGACGCCAACTCGAGGGACCAGAGGGACGTGGACGGAGGGACAGGACGGGCCAAAGATGGCCATAAGGGATCGAAGTAGTGTTTGAAACATTTTGGACACAGCTTAGCTTGGATGTGTTTCTTTTGTCAATGTCTTTGGGAACAGCTTGCGGTCAAAGACCGCAGAAAGCTCGAAAGTCAAAAAAGACTTTATTTGGTGAGTTTGGCGCTGCTTGCAGGACATTGTTAGCAAGCAAATCTGGTACAATGATCTCCACTTTGTTCTCTAGGAAAGAGCTTGGAATCAGAAGACCATCCGGTAGGATCTACCAAGAACCCCCCAACCCCATAGATTTGCCTTACTTGATGCCATTCATGTTGTTTCTACCATGACCAGTGGTCCCAAGATTTTTTTTGACTGCACCCAAAACGACAGGAAGGTGATCTTGTTCACTATCACTATCCTCCTCGCTAGAAAAGAGGGATGAAAAATGCCAAAGACCAACCCTACTGGGCAAAGTAGTTTCCTGGTTTGCTCCTGCCGCAGATGTCACCGGCATTAGGCTCCACTCCTTTGTCTTCCCACACTTGCAGAGTCTCCTGACCACCCAAGAGGACTGCGTGGCCCATGCTTCACATTGCTTCACTGAGCTTTCGGGAGAAGCATGAATTCTTTTATACAGTATATACAGTATATCGATGATCGAAAACGACCTCACTAAAAGGCTGTTGCAGATTCTTTTCGATATCAGCTACATGAAAAGTTAGGTTCGGGTTCTTGAAGGACTCTTCAAAAAAGGGCCGAATGTATTTGGACTGTATATAGATGTCAGTCTTGCTTCCTACTCTTTTCCTCTATCGCTCTTAGGTTGGAGGCCATCGCTACTAGCGTGGAGGCCATCGCGACTAGGTGGAGGCCATCGCTGCTACGGCTGAGGCTTGTGATAAGAAATCCCTATTTTGTCGATAGAGCCTGGAATATTTCTTGGTTCCAAGTGTTTTGAACAAGAAATCTGAGGCCACGTAGACTCCAGCGTTGGGTTTCTTAATCTGGGAGAGGGCAATCTCTGAATGAGGGGTCTTAGCTCTATTTCAAACCTGTCCCTTTGCGGGGCCCGTTTTCCATGACAGAAACGCACAACCATTAGAACGCTTCACGTCGCAGCAGACGTGGGGGGGCTTGGCGGAAGTTGAAGTTCTTCGCATTTTGTTGGAGATTCTGCCCTGTAAGAGCCGGAGATGCGCTTGCAGAAGACTTCCCAGAGGCTGCTGCGCCCTTGCGGGCTGTAAGTTCTATAGTGTGCCGGCGCTTGTATTTGTTTGGCACTGGAAGGCGCAGCACCAACCACACCAGCTCGATCCCGGGTCGCACCCGGTGCAAAGTGGCAGGCCCAGAGCCAACACAGCAACTAAAATCACAAAGAGACAGGCCCAGAACCAACCACAGCAACTGAATCCCACAGGCACAGAACCAGCAGCTAAATCCCTGGCGCATCTTTCATTGCTCGTTTTTCCCCAGTGAGCTGAGCATGAGGCCCCACAGTGGTTTGGCTGGTGATGATGCTGGGAAAGGGCCCGTGCCTATGTCAAACCTGTTTTCAATTCAATCAGTTTCCGACCTCTGTGGTGGCCTTATCCAAAGCACGTGGAAAAGAAATCGATCTTTGACAGGCGTACCAACACATGATCAGAGAAATATGCCGCATGCAATTTTCTGATTTTGTCCATTCACGCCGGCAACAGAAGCAGGAGGAGGAGGAGAAGGAATAAGAGCAAGTACGGCTATGTACAGTTTGGTACTAATTTAGTTTATATATATATATATATGTTTATATTGTCTATCAAGATTTATGAAAATTCGCAGTTTTGCGAAAATGGAGTCTCAAGTAATATATTCCCCTCAAAATTAAAGTCTAGTTTCTTGTTCTATAACGTTTCTTAACACACCCGACCGTGGGGTGGAGGCCATCGCTTTTAGGTTGGAGGCCATTGCTATTTTTCGTTCTTGTTTATGATTATGTTTGGACCTTCCCTTCAGTTTCAGACCTTTGGACCTTCGTTTCGTTTTGGTTTCTTTCCGACCGGTCAAGATGCGTCGCAGTCGTGAGAAAGACTCCAAGTCCGAACAGATGTCTGTCCACTTCCCTTTGCCTGGGAAGGCTTCGGACCTTTACCTGACAACCTGATAAGTGTTCAAATCAGCACTCGGGAGCTGTGCCGAAGCCCAGGACTCCCATGTTCATTTTGCGGCAATGAACTTGCAACTTAAACAAATCTTTGTTACTCACTTCCTTGGTTCATGCGGAGATTCAGCTACCGCATGGTTTGGGCGGTGTGGTTGATCCTCACACCTAAATTATGTTCTGTTCAACTAATGCCGGCGTTGTACAGTATCTTTCCTATGAACTACCAATCTTGGTGCTGCCTAGGTTCCTCCTTTGCCTACGGCCAAAAATAGGTAAGTACCACGAACTGGCCTGGCTGAGGAGAAGCTCCAAACAGCAGTGAAGCCGCATCCTCGTCGAGAACCGATTGGTTTTCTTTGCCAAGGGTAGATGAATTTTTGATCCAACACATGTCAAAACCTCGACATGTCAAGTTCAGGACTGAACTGCAGCCTCTCTCAGTTGTCCTTGGCAAGAGATGAACAAAAGAAGGTGCTTGGGCTCCTTTAACATCCTTTAAATGTGGTTCGTATTCGGGAGTTTTGTACATTTCTTCTAAGTTTTGAGGAGTTTTCCGCTTTTGCTCGTCTACAAAGGTTCTACGGCTCCGTGGAAGAGCTTCTGAAGGCTTTGAAGAGCTTTCGTATGTTGATTTTTTGATATTTTTGGATCCACCTGCTTCAGGTGGTGGTTGATTTTCTCCACAAAATCTCTTCAGCTATCAGTCTATATAACTCTCCAATTGTATTGGTTTGTTCTTTCAAAGGAATAAGAAACCCAAGTCCATCCAATCAGCTAGTCCATCACGGATCAGTGTTTCCATTCTTTCACGAATCAGGTTTGAACCGCCACGGTCCATGGAGTTTTTCGTTGCACTCGCCCGATAAGAATTGTGATTCCTGAGAGGAGAATCAATATCTCCTTCATTTCGTAGAGAACGGCGGACAGGTCGTGCCTGGAGGTGATCGATTAATCCTTGTGGAGCTGCCCTCAGATGAGAACTGCCCAGTTCGATAGAAATCCACTAAGATTTTCCAAAGATTCTTCCACTCAACGCGCTCACAGTCCTGAGGACGTCTCGGCGCCAGCAGAACAGCTTGAGCTCCTGGACGGGAAGATTGCGTTCGGAAGACCTGGCAAACACTGTCAGCAACCAACGAGAACTGTGTTTAGGCGATTTTCGGCTTCTGATTCATCGGGGCTCAAGACCTCATCCCTTGTCGGAGACCTGCTTGGTTCCAGTTCTGAAATTGCTTGGTGTCCTGTTTCCCCTGACAAATTCAATCACCATTAGTAGTTGCCCTCAAGTACGACTTCCTCGTTGTGAACAAATGCCCCAGGGCTTCCAAAACGCGCCCACATGGTTCTTTAAAGTCTCGATTCCCAAACTAATGGTGTCGATCTACTTGTTCTCTTTCCTGGTGCCGTTGAGGTCCCTCCATGTAAATATCAAAAACATCCTGTGGAAGGCTTTTCTGCAAGCGTTCGCCATTCTTTGCCATTTAATCCCTGATACCAACGACTTCGCTGTCCCTTTTTCCAGTTTTCCAGTGTTTCACCCCGTGGATCCTGTAGCTGCGACAGTTTGAGCAACCGAAGGCCCCACGAGAAGATCGAGTGTGTGGACCAGGCCTGCAAAATCCACACCTCAGACTCTTGACGTGAAAGACGAACAGACGGTTTCGGATATCACAAGAGGTTTTTGTTGCTAATGTGAAAACCGAAATGGGTAGATAGCTGGAAGCCTAATCCCTTGTCTTGATTTCCCCTGATTTCCTGCTAGACAAGGCAAGGCTCTAAATAGCGTAAGTATATAAGTACATAAAGCCCCTGTCAAAAAAATTATATAGCAAGATCGAAAGAATGGATCAGGCCACCAGCGGATCTTCCACTGCTGGATTTCTGGTTCATCAGTTTGGCGTATATAGTGTTTATTGAGTCTGTTCAGTTCGGAGAGACGTGGCGAGGCACATCGCTTACTACAGAAGAGTATCGGCTCTGAGCATCTTGGATGATTGGTTATGCACATGAGCGGCGCATGACCACAAAGATTGAGTGCCCTTCATTGATAAGGCAATGGGGTGTGTAGTTTTAGATGGTGATCTGTTTTAGATGGTGTGTAGTTTTGAGTCTGATGGCGTTGGATGTGTGGTTCGCTCTGGGGGGGAGGCGTCACCCAGGCACTCATCGCTCACACAAAATAAACCCGCGCACTCGCCCGAGTCTTTCCGATTGCAAAATATTGCAAGCATCCTTTCGTCCTGTGGAGCCCGGTGGGGCAGTGATGCTGGTGCCTTCAGCGTTCGCCACAAAATCTGCAACTTTGGCCAAAGCACTGGGCCACGACCGACCGACTTTGTAAAGGTCACCCCATCGATCCCCATCGCATATCCACACCAAATATTGCACACCCTCGCCTAAGTTTTTGATTATGTGTTGCAAACATTCTTTCATGGTCCTGTGGTCACTTCAGGGTTCTAGGTCGTCAGAAGGCACAACAATCTGCCTGACCAAATAAACAGTAGTGGTGGGTCTGAAATACGGAACTCATGCAGCGTTACGATTTGTTTTTTCCGATTGTTCCAAACTTTGCAGAGGATGCAGAGGGCTCAAATGATTCGAAGAACAACGGCTCTAGCGTAGGAAAAATATAGTGTGTGATAGTGTGTGTGTGTGTATAATTGTTGTGAATTTCGAACCTTTCGGTCACTGAGGAACCAGTCTTGACCCACTCAGGTGTGTTCACGTCCGAAGCCACGAGTGTGCGAGGCCGCAAGGGTGGTGTAGGGTGGGTCACCCGTGACCTGAGCCATAGAAGCAGTGAGGACACTGCAGGGCGAGGCGCCCGACCGTTCGTACCAACCTTCAGGTGAGCTGTGAGTGGAAAACGCACGCGGCTGTGCGAGGGAAGGAGGATCTTTTGTTGCTACCTTTGTGTCAATCACATTGGTAGCGGAGCTACCGCTAAAGCTCCAGACAACACCTGACCCTTGTGCTTGGCTGTTGTTGACTGCGTGGTTGAGTCGGTGAATACGTTGTTTGGCCGCAAGGCAGTCGACAGGTTGCACATTGTCTTGGTGGTGTTGTCACAGAGTTGTTGAGCTGCGGTTTCCAGGGAGGAAACAGCCCAATGCCACCGGAAGGTGATTCAGCTGGCTCCAGTTCCTCTACAGAAGTTTTGAGCAATCTCCCATGGAGCCAGGTTCCATCTTTCAAGCCTGGTGAGACGGACCTCACTGAATGGTCACGGAAAGTAGAGTTCCTGGCATCACTATGGCCTCCAGAACAACTACACCTGCTTGCCCCACGAGTTGCATTGCAATGTGAGGGATCAGCCTTTCAGAGAGTTGCCAGACTGGACCCAAAGAAGCTGCGTGTTGGAAACTTGGAGGGAGTGAAGGCCATCGTGGAGGCCCTTGGAGGGATTTGGGGAAAATCCCGATTGGAGGACAAGTTTGAAAGGTTTGAGCGTGCAATCTACAGCACGGTCCAAAGAGCCGACGAGACCCATGAGAGCTATCTAGCTCGGCACGATCATCAATTCGAAGAGTTGCTGAGCATGAAGGTCGGCATGGATGAGTTTCGTGCATACATCTTGCTTCGCAACTCAGCCCTGAGCTCAGAAGACAAGAAGAGACTGATTGTTGAATCGCAGGGTTCACTGGAGTACAGAGAGGTGGTATCCAATCTGAAGCTCCTGGGGAGTCGATTCTTCCATGAGGTCCACTCCAGCGGAAAGCAGAACAATCCAAGGACCAAAACCTATGAGGCCAATGCGTTCATTGCCCAAGAAGCTGATGGTCACGACCAAGCACTCGACGAGCCCACCTACAATCTCGATGATTGGACCGAGGAAGAATGGATTGAGAGTCTTGCAAATGATGGTGACGAGGACGCCGCCATGATCATGGAGTATGAATCCACAATGTTGGATGCAGTGCAAGACAACGAAGATCTAGCATCGACGCAATCATCATACATGGATGCCCGTCGCCGCCTGTCAGAGCGCTTCAAAAGCCGTGGGTTCTGGCCAACAAGTCAGAACAAAGGCAAAGGAAAAGGGAAAGGGGGTGAAAAAGGAAAGCGATCCCCCTACTCCTCAAAGTTTTCTGGCAATAGAAAGAGCCTCCAGCAGAGGATCATGGAGAGCAGCTGCAGGATTTGTGGCCGAAAAGGCCATTGGAAGGCTGAATGCCCGCAACGTGGATCTCAGTCGGTCCCATCGACAGCTGTTGCTCCTACACTGGTGACAGTGAATGATGAGCAGGACGCGCTGCCACTGGAGTTCATGGATTTGCCAGAGCTGACCAAAGAGACGCTCAACGCCACTCAAGAGAATACGAAACATGTTTTGTGTGTTTGTGAATCAAGGGACACCGGTGTTCTGAGGGGTTTGTGGGAGACCAATGAAGGGGAAATCATTGATTTAGCCCACAAAGGGGAAATGATCACCGAGTGTGAGAATTTTGATGTCAGGACTAGCTTGCCAGAGAGTGCGTTTGCTAGCACCGCCCAATCACCTGAAGCCAAGTCGATGCATGACACCGAAGCCAGTGCATTCTCGAGCTTTTCAACTCGCGATGCCCTGGGAATCGTAGATACAGGTGCTACTAAGACCGTCATAGGAAGCGGTTTCGTAGCCAATCTCCTAGCCGCACTAAGGCCAGAGGTTCGGAAGCAGGTCCAAAGGTGTCGTTGTTCAGTGGTTTTTCGGTTTGGGAATCAAGGGACACTTGAAAGCAAGCATGCACTCGTTGTCCCAATCGGACCGCTGAAGCTCAAGATTGCCATAGTGCCAGGCCATACACCTTTCCTGCTGTCGAATACTCTGCTCCGAGCCATCGGAGCCACCGTAGATATAGCTGGTGAAGTGATCAAAAGCACTCTCTTGAAGCGCAATATTCCATTTCAGCTGAATGCCAAGGGTTTGTTTTTAGTTGATCTAAATGATCTGATCACACCCACCAGTCAAGATGCCGAAGCTGAACCTGCCGAGACCTTCGCCACTTTGAATTGCAAGAGCTTGCCAAGTGTCTCTGTCCAGAAGCCTGGACAAGTGCAGTCGGAAACCAAGACCATGATGAAACAGAACGTTCAGGCGAGGACAGGTCTTGTAACAAGCAGAATCCAACAGTTCGAAGCCGCCATGCCCGAATCAACAAAGACCCATACGAACACAAAGAAACCAAACGAACGTCCGAGTGTTCGCGGGGGTGAGAAAGTCTCATTCGAATCGGTTCCAGGGGGGGTCCAGCCCGGTGTCATCCGTTTTGGGTTCAAGACCGGATCTGTGCAATCACACACGTGTGATCATCCCATTCGTTCACCTGTGCCGCATCACTATCATGCCGACCTCCGAAGCAGCCGCTCTGAGTGCCCGCTTGGCACGTGTCATGGGGGAAGCAAAGAAGGAAGAAGCCCTCGATCAGCTCGAAGCCTTCAAGCTCCTATCACTGGACGAAATGGGCCAAGCCAAGATCGATTTCGGATCAGCCCATCTCGGTCGGACCTACTCGGAGACGTGGGAAAAGGAGGGCAAGTATGTGAAGTGGTTCCAGGCAAGTTACCACTCGTCGAACAAGGTCAACCATCAGAAGTTCATCCACTACATCTCACTGAGGGTGACCTATGCCGAGCACCAACTGGGTCTGAACAGTCAAGACCTGCAGCCATCACCAAGTCAGAGGCCACTTCATCCGGCTCTCAAGAGCAAGGCCAAGGCCAAGCCGATTCAGGAAGTGACCCCGCAGGACTTGGCAGATCTTGCCGAGGACGAATCCTGGGAACCAGAGATCTACACGGAGATGGCAGCCATGGACACCCGCCTTCAGACCATCGAAGGTGCGACGCAGGAGATCATTGCCCACCTCCGGGCTTCATGAGCTCGTCATGGCTAGACTCCTTCGAGGAAGCTGATATACATGTATCGTCCATGTGCCAAAAAGATGTCAGTCCAGGTAAGACTCACAGTCTGTCCCATAAATTCCATGCACTGGTTCAGCAAATCTCAAAGGAAGCCAGTCTAGCAAGGTGTGACCCAGTGATCTCGAACGGATGCAGCCGTCTACATTTGCTGGAAGTGTTTTGTCATGAGGCCAGTGAACTGACGAAGCAAGTCCAATTGCTGGGCGGCAGAGCCAACCGTTTTGGAAGGGCGCAGGGGGACCTCAAAACCAAGGAGGGGAGAAGTGTTCTGTTTCAAATGGTGTGGAAACAAAGACCCCGTCACATATGGTTCAGTCCCACCTGTGGACCATGGAGCGCACGGAACACGTTCAATGAAATGAGATCAATCCAATTGTGTGAACATGTTCAACGAGAGAGAGAGAGTCACACTTGTTCGAACTTGCACTAGGAGTAGTCTTGCTTCGCATGTCACGTCAGCTAGGAACCACATGCACTGGGAGCAGCCACGAAAATCCATCATGTTCAAGACCCCACTCCTGCAAGAGCTGTATTCATATACTCAGGAAGCCAATTTCGACATGTGTCGCGTAGGCCAGTTGACATGTCCAGAAACGAACAAACTCATACAAAAGGAGATGGCTGTAAGAACGACATCGCAAGAGATGTATGCCTCGTTGCATGGCCGGGTGTGTCGTCGAAATCATGAGCACAGACCCATTGCCGGATCCGTGACAACGCCTCTCGGGAGAATCACCGTCAGTAGCTATACAGAGAACTATCCAAGAAAGTTTGCAAGACAAGTAGCTAAGGTGATGTTGAAAGTGAAACATGAGTCATGGGTTACTGCCCTTGTAACCAGAGGAATAGATCAACTGAGTGAGGACAGTGCATCCAAGTGGATCCGTGTGAGTTCTCCCATGCAGAAGTCCCAAGGTGGGCGACTGCCATCAACACCCCTGGAGCAATTGTCGAACGAGCGCAAGCGCCGCCGCATTGACGGCAAGACGGCCGAATCGCAGAGTATGAACACGTCACCCCAGAGACAACTAGAAGAAATCATCAAGGACATCCAACCAATGTTGCCAAGAGTAGGGAAGACTTTTATCACAAACCACCAAATCTTGGAGAGGCTTCAAAACATGTTCCCCGAAAAAGAAATCAAGAAAGTTCAAGCATGTAAGGGATCAGATCGAACATTGCCACCGCCAAGGGATTTGGTAAAGAATGAGGCCCCATATCGTCGTGCCATCATCGTAAGCCGAATAGGGGGGGTAATCCAAGTAGAAAAGGACTGGGAATACTGGCAAGACCTGTCTCATCGGCAGCAAGTCCGCCCAGCACATCCCGCAAGAGTCAATATCACAATGTACGCGCGTTTGCCCCAATCAAAGTCAGAAGCATCAGGTGATTCGACCGAACAGAATATGAGTCCCGAGGCAACGGGAACAAGCATCGAGCCGCAGGAGGCAACCGTCAGCCTGCCAAGTAGTGACCAAGCACCTGTCACAGAGCTGGATCCGGATCAGACCAAAGAGACAGGAGCGAGTTCGAGTCAACTCCATACGCCGAGCTTTGACCATGGCCCAAAGTTCAAGACCATATCAGCCGAAGAAAAATCGTTCTTGCTGAAATTGCATCAGAACCTAGGACACCCTCATGGTCAAAAGCTGTGTTCAATGCTGCGTCAACAGGGGTACTCACCCCGGTTGTGTCAAGCTGCCATGGACCTAAGTTGTTCCGTATGTCAGAATACTAAGGAACCCAAACATCAAAGACCTTCTACAATCAAGCGTGAGCTAGACTTCAACGACTGTATTGGGATAGATGGCGTTGTATACACGAATCTGGCAGGAACCAACTTCCACTTCTATCACATCATCGACTATGGAACAAACTACCAGGTAGCATGTGCAAGCCCAGGTAAAAGCAGTGATGATGCAATAGACAAGGTGCTCAATGGATGGCTCCAATGGGCAGGGGCTCCGATTGAGATTCACACAGACTCAGGGACGGAATTCACATCCAAGGAATTTGTCACTTTTCTAGGCCAGTTCAACATCAAAGCAATAGTTACCCCACCAGGTGCACACTGGCAAATCGGAAAAGTAGAAAGACATGGTGGAATCCTACAGGAAATGCTCAAGAAGTATGAACAGGAACATCCAATAACGTCATACACCAACCTGCAGACAGCACTATCGCACTGCACTTCTGCCAAGAATGCACTGAGCCAGAAACAGGGATACTCCCCAGAAACTCTTGTTTTTGGAAAAGGGTCCAGAATTCCAGCATCAATCTCATCGGACGAGCAATTGCCATCGCACCTCCTGGCAGACGATGACACCCAGGAAGGAATCAGATTTCGAGAAAAGCTGGCATACCGCGAAGCTGCGCGACGAGCTTTTCACTGTGCAGACAACAGCTCTGCGTTGCGAAGAGCTGCTCTCCGGCGAAGCTGTCCTCACCGAGGATCCTATGACAGGGGAACTTGCGTGATGCTATGGAGACAGACTCCAACCCAACGGGGGTGGTTTGGTCCAGCCAGAGTCATCCAACAAGAAGGTCCCCATTGTCTTTGGTGTAATCACGCAGGAAGCTTGGTAAAGATAGCCCCTGAACATGTTCGACCCGTAAGTGCCATGGAAGCCCAGCATATCCCCCGAGCTCTAAGTCCGATCGCAGGGATTGAAGGCGAAGATACACAAAATGCCAACATTCGTGAACAAGCACCCGCAACTCCACCAGAGAGCCAAGAAGATAGCAATATAATCCCACAACACGTAGGAACAGGAAACACATCGAATTCGTCAGAGGTCCAGCCAGATCAAGAGCCCTCGATTCCAGAGAGTCAAGTGTCTCCAGCGAGCCGACAAAGCATCGAATTGCCGAGTGACCTCGGCGGTCATCAGGATGCAGCAAGTGTGCCGGTCCCAAGCGAAGCATCCGATCTCAGTGATGAACTCGTATGTGACTCCCTATTAAGTGTAGAAGATCAGGTCAACTGGTGCCAAACCCAAATAGACTCAGAAGCCGTAGGATGGAAAGCTGAATTCCTGTTTCCCCAAGAAACAATGATGAAATGGGATGAAAACTCACCAGCAACAGATCTTATCATGATGACTACCACCACCAAGCGTGACCGAACAGAAGTAAAGATGCACCAATTGTCCACCGAAGAACAAGCTCTCTTCCGTCAAGCAAAGGAAAAGGAGATCACAAATTGGTTAAACACAGGGACGGTGAGTAAAATCTTTCGGGATCAGCTGTGTCCGGAACAGGTAATGCAATGCCGCTGGATGTGCGTATGGAAACCCCTTGATGCTGACGACCTTCAAACCGGATCAACTGAGAACGTCAGACCAGGACCAAAGACCCATAAACCGAAAGCACGTCTAGTAGTCCTTGGATATCAAGATCCCCAGTTAGACAGCATACCCCGGGACTCGCCGACACTTGGAAAGCAATCCAAAATGCTCTTGTTGCAAGCAATATCATCCATGGGATGGACTCTGCAAAGCTTTGATATCAAAGCTGCATTTTTGCAAGGCAAAACGCAGGAAGATCGAGTTCTAGGCCTGGAACCTGTTGAAGAACTTCGAAAGGCATTGAAACTTCAACCCAATCAAATCTGCAAACTCGAAAAATCAGCCTACGGTTTGATCGATGCTCCTTATTTGTGGCATAAGGAATTGGATCGGACCCTTCGCGATTTGAACTTCATTCCAGCACCCTTCGACCCATGCGCATACGTACTATACAAACCAGGACAAAGCAAAATTTCGGGGGTCCTAGGAGTTCATGTTGACGATGGACTAGGTGGAGGAGATCAATACTTTGAAGAACAAATCTCAAAGCTAGAAGCCAAATTCCCATTTGGATCAAAGAAAGTAGGTCAATTCACGTTCACTGGTGTTGAGATGAACCAACAGGCAGACAAAAGTATCATCATGTCCCAATCCAAGTATGTAAGCAAGATTGAGCCAATCCACATGAATGCAAGCAGACGAACATGTCTGACGGAGGAAGTGACCTCCGAAGAGAGACACTCGCTCCGTGCACTTGTGGGAAGTCTTCAGTACGCGAGCATCAACACGAGACCGGATCTTTCAAGTCGACTAAGCTACATCCAAAGTGAGATCAACAAAGCCACGGTCCAAACGTTGCACGATGCCAACCGTGTACTTCATGAAGCAAAACGATACAAAGACACATGCATCAGAATCCAACCCATCCCAATCAAGGATCTCAGATTCTTGTTATTCTCGGACGCATCATTTGCGTCGGCCAAGAGCCCAGAAAGTCACACAGGCATGATCATCTTGGCCACCCATAGGGATATAAGTGAGAACTATCAATGCCCAGTCAGCCCGTTGTCCTGGGGTTGCCGCAAGATCCAGAAAGTAGTTACGAGTACTTTGTCAGCCGAAACAACTTCGCTCCAAACAAGCTTAGACCAGCTATCTTGGATGAGACTCTATTGGGCATGGATCCAAAATCCCCAAGTCAATTGGAAACGACCACATGAGGTTTTTAAGAGTGAACCCAAACCAATCCAATCTACCACAGCCTTAGCCCAGTGTTTGCCACGATCAGTAGCTGTCACAGATTGCAAATCTTTGTATGATTTGGTTACCCGAACTGCTCAACCAAATTGCCAGGAATTCCGTACACAACTTCAAGCAAAGGCAATAAAAGATTTGCTATCCGAAGGCATTCAATTAAGATGGGTTCATACAGGAGCTCAGCTCGCTGATGCACTAACTAAGGTGATGCAAGGAACTTTCCTCCGATACACTTTGCAACGAGGCATGTATCAACTAAATGACGAACTGCAAGTGCTGAAAGAGCGAGCTGACAGCAAAACACGCCTTAGGTGGCTTGAGTCCGGGATCCCTCTAATGGGAGACCAGCAGCAAGAAGGATGATCGACGCACAACCAAAGAAAAAAATGATAGAATTTTTGATGAGTGTGAATTTCGAACCTTTCGGTCACTGAGGAACCAGTCTTGACCCACTCAGGTGTGTTCACGTCCGAAGCCACGAGTGTGCGACGCCGCAAGGGTGGTGTAGGGTGGGTCACCCGTGACCTGAGCCATAGAAGCAGTGAGGACACTACAGGGCGAGGCGCCCGACCGTTCGTACCAACCTTCAGGTGAGCTGTGAGTGGAAAACGCACGCGGCTGTGCGAGGGAAGGAGGATCTTTTGTTGCTACCTTTGTGTCAATCACAAATTGTGTGTGTATATATATATTTCAATAATATTAGGCACATGTTCTTTTCATTGTGTGGAGATTGCTCATGATCGAAGCCCAGAATTCTAAAGGAAGAAAAGACACGTGCGAATCTACCTTAATCCTTCGATTCCAGCAGCACGCGAACAGAAACTGAGGCAACAAACATTGAAAAGGGCCAGTGAAGACATGGTGGCGCTTCAGAGCACATCATCATCCTAAACTAAACCACACGTCGTAGCGTCTATATTGCACGGCAAAGGTGATCTAGAATTTCAATGAATTTCATTGATCCACACCGTTTCCAAACCACCGGTTCCAAACCCATATTGCTTCAGTTTCTGACAACTCGAGAGGTTCATTATCCAAATGATTATTCACCATTATTCAATAGTGAAATCGCCGCCGAACCAGCCGTTTTTTACGATCTCGAGGCGAACCTTGAATGCTGCGCCTTTGGAGATCACTGGTGATGATGTGAGAGGCCCAGGTAGTGAGTGCGATTAGAAATATGTTTCCCCTTTGGTGCAGATTGCACAACTTCTTATGACATTTTATGACACTTACAGTCTTGGTTGTGGTCTTGTTGTTGTGGGGGTGGCGTTCGAAACGGGTAAAACTTGGGTGACCGGGATCGCCACAGCTGGCCGATTCGATCGAATCGACACGGGCTGGACGGCTCGACCGTTTCACCGACAACTGCGCAGCTCACTAGTCGTTTGGAGGTCTCCGGAGCACTCGACGTCTGCAAGCTGCAAGAACACCTTTAATTTCAACACCTACTTTGGCAAATCCAAACTGAGGCTATGCAGTGTTTATGCCAGTCAAAGTATGCCTGCCGAACTCTGGGGTGGATGGAGTTGCAAGTACCTGTAATTCCCTTACTGCAATGGTTTGAACTGCCGGTCTCCCTCCTTTGGGGCAGCCCAAATTTATGTTCACCTCATTTTCTGGGACACCTTGATTTGTGCCCGCTCAGATTTCCTGTCGCGATGAGCGGCGACTTGAGGTCTTGTCCCTCTTCATCTTGGTCGTCTTCCGGACTGGGTCAAAATCATATTGCCGTGCAGATGTTCAAATGAGATGCTCAAGGGAGACAAAGAATTCGGTTTGCATTGGGGTGGGCTTCACTGTCGGAGCAATTGATTCTTTAGACCTGAATCCTGTAAGCATTTTCGAGCGATAGAAATGCTAGGGAATCACAGCTTGTTGTCCGGAATGTGTTTCTGGAATTCCCTACAATGGATTTTCTTCAATGGAGTTGTATTTCAGTTATATATATATATAAATACAGTTGGTCTATCTCTGAAGCACAAGTAAGAATAACACGGCATAACACGGTAAAAGGATACAAAAGGCCAGTTCCAGGATGCAGCCGTATCCAATCTGTTTGTGGGATGTTGTGTGTCATGCAGGCACATGTACATGCTCATACCACAGCTGATCCCCAATCGTTCATGAACAGCTTATCCTCCTGCATCCAGGCTACATGAAAATCCATGGAGGATGTGAACACCGGTTCCGGGCAATCGGCACGAACGAAGATGACCGTTTCAAGTAGATCAGTGCTGTCACACCGACTGTTGAGGGGATTTGACCCAACTCCCCACGCTGTACATCCCCGAATTCACTGGAGGTTCTTCAGTTCTTTCGGCTGGTCCTTGCAATGGAGTCTCCCGGGTTGGTTAAACCAACTCGGCCTGACCGGTGACAGGTGCAGAAAATGCACCTTTTGCTGACAAAAACGATGAAGCGGTAAATTACATAAACTATATTAAATATTGATAATATGTATATAATATATATATTATATATTATATATATATATTATATATATATGTTATATATATATATGTGTGGATCTAGTGTGATGTACAACTGCCAGGTTTTCACAGATGTTTTCGGGGTGAAGTCTTAGTATATCGGAAGGTGGGAGTTGTCGTTTTCCTCAAAATCTAGGAACCAAATGAATAAGTGCGAGGGCTTATTCAAGGAAGCTACCCTCAGCCGCCTTTATGCATCAAGAAACGTGATCTATCCTGCATCCAGGTAGTAGCGGCTAGTTGACCCCAATTGAAGGAGAACCCGTTGGGTCGACCTCAGGAGTCAGGTCAAGAACTTCTTGGCACATGTTTGCCACATGGAGATGTATCTCCAGGGACCTAGCAGGTACGCAGAGGGCTTCGATCTTCCAAGTCTTTCTGTCGATGAGAGGATGAGAGGATGATAGGATAAGCACATCTTTGCAAAAGAGTGGGAGATGCTTTAATCTCAGATTTCCGGACGTCGATGTGATGTTGATTGACTAGTGACGCTACCAGGTTCTTGTCGTTCTTTTGGGGTGAGGTCTTTCGACTCATTTCCTTGCAACTGTGAAATGGAGGTCATGTGTAGGTAGGTGCGGTGGTTTTTCCAGATTCGATGATGTATGAAGGCTTTGCAGAATTCAAATTCTCACTGAGGTCAAGAAGCTCATACAAAAGATAATTTGGTTCTCAAATGATATCGCTTGTATTTTGGATTATTTTGAGATACAGCAGAAAGTGACTAAATATAGACTGGAAAATACAACGTCCATGTACTTGAGTCAAGCAAACGACCTGCCCTCCGCTGTCTCCAGCGTTTGTTTCCAGAACACGGCGCCGTGCAGCGGAGGTCGGGTGGCGGTGCCCGCTTTGAGGAGGCCGGCTACGCGGTCTCTGCGCTGCAGGCGACGGGGAGCGAGTTGCGAGGGGAAGAAGTGGTTTAGCGTCCTTACTCCTAGTAGTAAGGCCAGGAGCCCCGAGTAGGTTCTTGTGCCTAGTAGCGATGCCAGGAGCCCCTAGTTCGAATCTCGCCGAAGCCAGGAAGACCTTCATGACCGAGGATGAAAGGATATGTGAAGCCAATTTGGCCACCGTACCCAAAGTGCTTTACACTGCTGCAGGATGGCCTGCCCCAGCTAGTTTGGTTGAGTGTGTGCAGAAGGCCACCAAGCAAGCTCTCATCCCGACCAGGGCTTTTCGTGATTCCGGTGTGCACTGCTGGACTCTTGGATTCGAGGTGCCGCCCAGCCCGGAGAAGTTTGCTGTGCAAATCAACGGCACCATTCATGAAATCCTGCTTTCGCCAGTGTCCAGCGCCAATCCGAAGGGCAAGTCCAAAGGCAGCAACAACAAGGTTAAATCCAAAGAGAAGCCAGAGCCAAAACCAACCACTGGCGAGATTGTAAAGGTTGTCTCTACTACGTCTTCGTCCGACAGTGCCCGCATCGATGCGCTTGAGCGCAAGTTCGACGTATTCGAGAAAAAGCAAGACCAACTTGAGGTCAAACTCGATCAGCGCTACAACGAGATCGCTGACAGCCTTCGCCAGCTTTTGCATTCCTCAAGCTCCCGCACCAGGGATCCGACCGGGGAAACACCTCCCGGGAAGCATAGCAAGATGTCATGAAAGAATGGGGCATGCACCACTTGTCTTTCTTTGCCTCAGTTCGTCCTGTGTCTTTGGTGGAGCCTGTTCCTTGTGATTCTTGTTGTGCGGTTCATGCCGGGATTCCATTCTTACCCTGGGATCTCCACCTCCCTTCGTCTTGCTTGCATCCTGTCTCCGGTCTTTTCGACTTTCGTTCGTTCTTACGGGGTGGACTTCACTGTCCACTCCACACATCTTTCGTGCTTGTGCGCGTGGCCGCAACCACCAGTTGTGTTGCCCTTTACATTTGCACTATCCTTGCGCACCGTGCTGCGTCCTGTGTTCTTGGCCAATTTCGGTTGGACTTTGTGGATGTTGTGGACTTTCTGGACTTCCTTACCTGGTGCTTGTTTCCTTTTGCCTCGCAGCACGCATCTCAGTTGCCCAGGGCCTAATTATTGCAATGTTAGTTACCTTCCATGGGTTCAGGAGGGCGCCATTTTTAGCATCACTGGAACCAACCCATTGTGGTTCCCATCCAACTTTGATTCATCCTTGGGCTTCCCAGGCGAAGGTCCTGGAACGACTGGGCAAATGAAGCTTTCCGTGGTTACTGCTAACATCGGATCCCTCAAGAAGAATACCTTTTGGTCGACTTGTGGCGACGATATTATCTGTCTTCAAGAAACTAGAATCGGCAAAAACAATGTCAGATCGTCCTCTAAAGATGTTCAAGCATGTAACTTGAAGCTGTACCACGGGGGCTTGCTGCCTGGAATCCTTCAGTCCAATGGGATTGTCAAATCTGGGGCAGGAGGCACTGCCATTTTGGCATACAGCGAGTTTGTGACTCCTCTAGACCCCAGTTCGTGCACCATATACCAATCGCTCTATGCGTCCAAAAGGGTGGTGGCAGTTTGGGTTCAAGTGGCTCCAAAGGTGCAATTGCTTGTTTTCTCCATCTACGCCAAAACGGCTGCATCTAAATTTCCAGAAGTACATGCAGAAAACAACCATCTTTTGGAACTCGTTTTTGAATGTGCCGCACAATATGGTCCTGTGCCGGTGATTGTGTGTGGGGACTTTCAACTTAACCCCTCGCATTATGCTAGTGTTTCGGCGGCAGTCAATAATCATTCCTGGATCGATCCCGCTGGTCCAAGTCAATCAGGAAGGGGACCTGTTTCGACCTTTAACATACTCCAATGATGGGCTTTTCACTGGTCCCGGGGATCGCTGCACGTCGATCGACGGCATCCTGTGTAATCACATCGCCTTTTCTGCATTACGCCATATTGAAGTTCTTGAGTTGAAGGTCCAACATCGACCTATCAGGGCCACATTCGAATGGGATCGTATTACTCAAGTGGGGTTCACCTTGGTTAAGACCGCGGCATTCAATCTTGACCATTGTTCTTTCCCTAATAAAGATGACCCCTTGTGCCCTTGCCACGAAAACGCAGTTCATGTTTGGACCAATTCCACCGAAGCGGAGTTTCATTCAGCTCCCACAGTTGATGAGAAATGGCAGGTCACCAACCGTTATCTCATTCAAGTTCTTACTGCAAATGGTGCTAAGTGGGAAGAGAGCCCCAAGCAGAGAGGTTGTGCACCTTCCTTTCGGCCGACACGTATTTGCCCAGGGCAATCCGCCAAAGGCGATGCCCTTTCCAGGAAAACCAAACGAATTGCAGTGATCGTCAACCTCCTTAGGGGAATTTACCTTCGCTTGACTCGTCCGATCCGGTCCTTCGCAGATGGTGAAACGCTTACGCGCTCCATTCGTAAGGCCAGATTGACTCTGTTTAAATGGAACTGCCCTTGTGTTTGGCCCCCGAATCAGTTACCCACTTTAGTGTACATTTCCGATTGCTTGCAGTGGCTCGAGGGAGTTCACACCAGTGTCACCAGGGGCATCCGGCACGCCAGGATTCAAACTTGGAAAGAAAAACTCAGAGCCTCAGCAGAGGGTACCAAGAAGTTTGTCTTCCAGCACCTAAAAAACAAGTCTTGTGAGGAACCTCCAAACTTGATCACGGATACTGAAGGCAACATTTTGTATCAGCCCCTTGACGCTCTGGCTGAATTTAACTCTCAATGGGACCAGGTGTTCGGTGCCAATGCCCTTCACGAAGATCCCCACACCATACTCAAGGTCATCTGGCCGTATGTGTCGCATGTATCGTCTCAGCCTGACATCCCAGACATTAGCGCACGGGACCTCTGTGAGCAGATTCACCGTAGAAATCCTAATGCTGCCCCCGGTCTTGACGGATTCCCTGGTTCGCATTTGTACCTGTGGCACTTTTGTTCAACCAGATTGAGAAGGAACTTACACCTCTTCCCCAAGTCTTGACCATTGCGAAGCAGATGGTACTCAACAAAAATGGGGACCCCTCCCCTATGCAGAAACGGTTGATCACTTTACTTCCTGCCTTACTCCTTTCCTACACAGGTCTCCGGTTTCGCCAATTACAGTCATGGCAACAGTCGGTGCTGCCCATGAATTTATGCGGTGCAATCAAGGGTCGAACCATGACATCCGTACACACGCAATTACGCCTTGATTTGGATATCGCTAAAAAGGACTCTACGGCCCTTGTTGGCCTGAAGCTAGACAAGTCCAAGTGTTTCGACCGCCTTATTCCGGCCATGGCGGGCGTTTTGATGCTGGCCTTTGGTCTCCCACGGGGTCTTGTCCACTTCTTTGTCCAGATGTACACCAACCTGCGCAGGCACCTTGCCTTGAGGGGGTGGATCTCCCCAACTGCCACTACAGCATCTAACGGTGTAGCTCAAGGTTGCTCATTGTCCCTGATTGCTATAAATTTGTTCATGTCGGTGTGGTCGATTTTCATCAACCTTATACCTCATGTCATTGCCAAAGCTTTCATAGACGATGCTTACATGTGGGCTCATATCTCTCAGATCCATGAGCTCAGAAGGGCCCTGGATGTTACAGCCATGTGGGACACTCTCACTGGTCAAGTATCTAACCCCAAGAAGTGCCAGCTGTGGGTCTCAGACCCCTCGCAGAAGAAGAGAGTTACAGCCGTTTTTCCGGATATTCCCATTGCCAGTGTTGTCGATGTCCTTGGTGTC